TATGCAAGAGGAAACCACTCTTCAAGCTCTTAATTCTATACCTACTAAAATTTGAGCTAGAGTTTTGTTATTTTGTACTGAACAATTCTTTCTTAATGGTCATCTTTATCAAGTCCTAGATCTTGAGCCTCTCACCCGTCTGAGACACCATCTATTTTCATTTAATATTTAATTAGACTAATCCACCTGATTACATATCGAAGCTAAAACCCATGGGGGTTCTTTCCACGCTACCAACTTCTATGTCTTTGAGGAGCCAACCATTCAGATGCGCTCCAAGCTTGTGAACGAGGATCTTCTTCAATAAAACTCTTGAGTTCATGAAGAAATCTCCAACTCCACTCAGAGATAAGTTAGGTTCCGATGTTTGAGATTATGAGGTTCAGAACCTCCCTGCTCTGTAGGATGAGAAACTATCATCCGACTAGTTATGTGATAAGATCAAATAACAGTTAAGTCCCTAGGGATATCGGCGAGAACGGACTATTCCAAAATCAATTTTCCACTCTTTGGGATCATTAATATATTTTATTGTTCCAACAGGTTGCTCAAAATTATCTCATTTATAGGCATCTAAAAATCACTAGGAGAAGCTTTTCCCCTTGAGGCATCCCAAAATAATTAAGGGGCCAACTCCTCAGGATTCATCTGATATTAATTGCTTGTTTCTAGAAAATAGATTCTTCAATACCAATGCCAGATGAAAAACTTATTAGAAGGTTGATTTTCAAACTCAAAATGTTAAAACTGAGTGTAGCCAGTTGGTTTTAGAATATCGGTACCATCTTTGATCTGTCTGTCATGTCATTGTGTCGATGAGTTGATAGATCATCTTCGAATTTCATCTTTAATCTTTTAAAATCTTCAATCTTATTCTTCATGCATATATTATTTTCTATCAAGTCGATATTGTCGCTAAACCTTTAAAAAAATGGTGTGAATTTCAAAATGATACTTTCTAAGAGGCTATTTGGTCTCATTTAAACATCAAGTATTTGTAACTGAATTAATATCATATACTTTGGCATCTCATCGTCATCTTGTCAAGATTTCTCTTGCATCAAGATAGTAAAGGCTTGATTGGGAAAAAAGAAACCCCATGCTTTTATTATAGTATCAGAGTAGATAAGATGTAGTTTCAGATGGAATAATGGTTTCATTGAGGCTAATTCAATTGTCATTTTTTCTGATACAGACCCATCCATGATGTGAAAATCCTACGGGCATCAGTTAAAGACTAAAGCTTTTCAGTTATCAACTTTTGACATTCTCGTATCGTCGAATCGACTGTGTATGCAGCAATCAAAACCGAAAACAATGTATTTTCTTTTCAGATGGAAGGAAGGAATGGAAGAATTTCCATGTTAGTTGGTTGAAGAAAGAGTAGAGGGGAAAAGGACCTTCCAATCTCATCAAATTGTATTCTAAACTCATAACTACTTAGCATATGACTGACTTCTCTTTATATGCCAAGTATGAGTTTGTGGGTCTTCCACCCATCATAATGCCTGACACTTCTGTATTCAAATCGTGAATGAACAATGCTTTATTTGGAGTTCTTATTATTAGAAATCTTTTGAAATGGGATTGACATTGTGCGAAATCAAACGGATTGAAACTAACTGGGAATACCTTCTGGCTGATCGAGTTGGTTTGTTCGATTGGTTGATTTTTTAAATTTTAGCTTATTTTATGTTTGTGTTTGATAGATCTCCGAGCTTTAAAAATTATTTAATAGGATGTTAAAAAAAAAAAACTCCTCTTTTGTCAAATGAATTACAGTTGTTAATGGATTCATTTCTTAAAAAATTAACTACTTTATTATTTAAAATTGAATATTGTGTCTCATAAAATTCATAATTTTTTTTTTTTTGTATTTATCCTTATTTTCTTATTATTATAATTGATTTTGAATTATTAAACCTTGTCACGGTGATTTTCAACATAGTACAAGTGAATTTAATTATTTAAAAATATCTCTCAAACATGCTTTTGTGACAGCATATCAAACACGATAATTCACCAAAGGGAAAAATAGTAATCAAAGGAGCACAACTGTTTTGTTCTTCAACATAGGGACTAATATTTGGGGATGAATATAAATAATTATAAATAATTAAATTCGAAATTTTCAATAAAAGTTTAAATAATAAATAAATAGAGCGATTTGCAAACAACAAGACAGTTTGGCCGAGTGGTCTAAGGCGCCAGATTTAGGCTCTGGTCCGAAAGGGCGTGGGTTCAAATCCCACAGCTGTCAATGTTTTTTTTAATTTTTTTTTTTTTTGTCTCATCTCAATCTATGCCCGTCCTCATAATTAATTCATTAATCTTTAGAAGTTTATCTGAAATTTAATCCAATTTAGAATGTAACTTAAATAAATAAAAAGGAATCCATAATTCTCAAAAATTAAACTAAAATAAAAGATTTGGGGCAAATTCATAATTTGAGGAAACTTAGAGGACGGTCAGGTTATTTTGCTCACTCATTCTGGAAACCCTAGCTATATAATTAAACATCATCTTCTACTAGAGCTGTATCACGTCGAAGGTCGAAGGTTCAGACAAATTCTCGAAAACCCTAATCTTCCCCTGCAGATTCCAGTTCATTACTCGTCACCATGGTATTTCATCATTCTTTTTATTCTTTCGTATTACGACTCCTGTATTCAATCCCTGAAAATATAGTTTCAGTCACCGGCAGATTATAATTGCTTGATTCAAAGTAAATGTAGGAAGTCTTATGAAAAACTTTGTAACTAGAAAATTTCTCAGAATTTATTCGAAATATGGTATCTGTTTGTATCATCCTGGGATTGAAGAGGGAAATTTCCACACCTCTGTTTAATTTTCGCGTGCTATTCATTTTCGTTGCATTGCTATTGGGGTTCCTTCGAATTTGCGTTATAAGCACATATTTTGAAGTAGCTGTGTGCATTGAAGGTAAGCTAATGACTTACTCCCTTTGTGATGTGTATTCTGTAGTCGAGAAGGAAGACTAGGGAGCCTAAGGAGGAAACTGTCACCCTTGGCCCTGCTGTTCGTGAAGGAGAGCATGTCTTTGGTGTCGCTCACATTTTTGCTTCGTTTAATGACACTTTTATTGTGAGTGATCTTCATTAGATTCTTCATCTAAGTCCTTAGTTGATTTTTTGTGTAATTCTGAATGTTCCATGCTTGAAATGCAGCATGTGACCGATCTATCTGGTAGAGAAACACTTGTCCGCATCACTGGTACGAAATCTGATCCACTCAATCTTAAAATTGATTCTGGCATTGCTTTCGGGCTGCGTTTTGACTTATTTCAATGGTTTCTTCCTCATGGTCATGTGCACGGTTTTTGATTGATCATAGTCCCTGAATTTCACATTGAACTGTCTTCGTGATTCACTCTTCTCCATCTTCTGTGTTGTTGTACTTATAGTTATATCCTTTCTTTGTTCAGGTGGTATGAAGGTGAAAGCTGATAGAGATGAATCATCTCCTTATGCTGCCATGCTTGCTGCACAGGACGTTTCTCAAAGATGCAAGGTTTGGCCACTAGTTGGTTTTACGTTTCTTTTGATCCGAATGTTCTCAGTCTAAATGATGAAAACTGCTCTATAAATGCTAAGAAGAGTAATGCATTTGTATGGATTGGCTTGCTTTTGAGATAACTGACTTTTTATTATTGTGTTTTTTCTTCTGTGAAACAACATATTGGATGATCACCCTGACAGTTGAGCATTTCTTACAGGAACTTGGCATTACTGCTTTGCACATAAAGCTTCGGGCTACCGGTGGTAACAAAACCAAAACTCCTGGGCCTGGTGCTCAATCGGCTCTAAGGGCCCTTGCTCGTTCAGGCATGCGAATTGGCCGTATAGGTACATAAGATTCATACTTCACTTCACTTATGTTTGTTAGTTTTTCTTGTATGAAACTGAAGCATTTCATGTTCATCTAAAAATTATATATAGATGAGTACTCCTCAAAAGCCATTGGGTTTATAGGCCAGACTTCTCCAATGATCATTTCACTGATTGCTAGTCGAGTATCGGGAATTAAGATCTATACGATATTCCATGTTAGAGGCTTAATGCACAGGATAAACACAGTTCTAGCTCTTATTATTCCTTGTGATCATGCATAGAGAAGTGGTGTTTGAATGTCACACCATTTTGAAGTTGAATATATATAGTGTTCCATAGATCTTTGTATTGAGTTTTGAAGTTCATGATCTTTTGAACCAATTAATTAGCATGCGTGTGAGATTGTTATTTTTACACCGTTTATTTTGTGTTTCCAGAGGATGTAACTCCAATCCCGACGGACAGCACTCGAAGAAAGGGAGGCAGGAGAGGAAGAAGGTTGTAATTCCTAGACCCCTTCCAAATTTTCCTTCTCTTATGGTGGATCTGGTGGCAGTTGAATACCATAGTTTTGAAGAAATTGGATATCTGCTAAATTGCGACGATTATTATTGATATTCTGGTTATTGCTTCTATCAACATTTTTGCCATTTTGATTCATGGATTTTCGAAGACAACGAGTATAGCACACTTTTTGCTGCCTTTTGTTAATTTGATGATATCCAATTTCTTGTTCAAACAAACGGCCTCTAAATTCATCACTTCATTATTTGTGAATAATGATTGAAAACTGTTATTGTTAGCTTTCATTTGTTTTTTAACTTCTAAAACTTTGAATTTAGTCCTCCGAATTGAACTCCCAATTCAAGTGTAGCTTGTTGATGGTTTGTTTGCCTTTACAATGGGATTTCAAGAGTCATGTATAATAGGCTCGTGTGTAAAAACCAAATCACTCGGGTCGGTCGGGGACGGGGAGGACCAGTCTAAACATATCGAGGCTGTTAGATCCAATCCAACCTTATTATGCAAAGAAACGAAACATTGTTGAGGAAGAAAGGGTGTGATCATCCACCAATTATAAGAAACAATTTGGCCCATGATTTAATTGCATTTCCATCTTGAATGTGGGTTCCATTAGAACATTTGACATTTCATCATGTAATTGACTAGAATCATATAATGGCATATGAAATGAAATCCCACACATGGACACCAATTAATAGTTAGTTATAAAGTGCAGCAAAAAAAGGTTTAATTCTGACTTCAATAATTCAAATCAAAACGGGGAAAATATTGATTAAAAAAGCAGAAACCAGAACATCAGACTGTCGAACTATGAATCACAATCTTCTTCCTCTCCTGCCACCCTTTCTTCGAGTACTGTCGGTCGGGATTGGAGTAACATCCTCTGATAAGACACCAAAAATTGGGTAAATCAAACAGTTTTGAAGATTGCAAGGAAAGCTGGTAGTAGAAAAATACAACTTTGAAACATAAAAAAAATAGTTTGCTAAAGAAACCGTTTGAGGAGATATTTTATGAAATTTTCTCACGTGTTCTAAAATATCCGAATTGGAAGCTAGATGCTTTTCGTAAAAAATGATTTTTAATGAACACTTGGAATGCCCTAATGGGCTTTTTAATTCATAATGAAAATGAGTAAGGATTCACGCAAGTGTTCACTATCACAAGGTAGCTTGAACTTCAAAACAGAACATTTATACACAATAGCAAGTGCACTTCACGTTAGGATGATATGCCAAATGGAGAGGCTTTGGTTTCTTACTGAAAATAATCTAGCAATTCTTGATAATAATATTGGAAGTAAGAATGTACCTATACGACCAATTCTCATGCCTGAACGAGCAAGGGCCCTAAGAGCTGATTGAGCACCAGGTCCAGGAGTTTTGGTTTTATTTCCACCAGTAGCCCGAAGCTTTATATGTAAAGCAGTAATGCCAAGTTCCTGTTACATATTACCCGGGTTTAGAGAGATGATGCCATGGAAGTAAAAGCACTATAATGCAAATGAATACAAATGCACATTGGGATGAAAAGCAGTTTACCACATTTAGATTAAGAACATTGGGATGAAAAGAAACATAAATCTGATTAGTGAGCAAACCTTGCATCTCTGAGAAACGTCTTGTGCAGCAAGCATGGCAGCATAAGGCGATGATTCATCTCTATCAGCTTTCACCTTCATACCACCTGGACAAAGAAAAGATATACCATCCAGTCAAACAATTCAGAAGTCAGAGAATACCAAATCACAAAGGTGGTCGAACATAAAACACATGAAAATTATCAACCAAAAACCAAGTACATGACCATGAAAGTATAATTTATAAACCGGTGGAATCACTAAAAAAAGCAGGCCAAAAGCAATGCCAGAATCAATTTTAACAGTGATTGGAAGACATTGCATACCAGTGATGCGAACAAGTGTTTCCCGACCAGACAGATCAGTCACATGCTGCAATTCAAGCATAAAACGATCAGTCAATTCAACAAAAAAAAAAAAAAAAATCAACCAAGGACTTAAAAAGAAGAATCCAATGAAGATTACTCACAATAAAAGTGTCATTAAACGAAGCAAAAATGTGAGCGACACCAAAGACATGCTCTCCTTCACGAACAGCAGGGCCAAGGGTGACAGTTTCCTCCTTAGGCTCTCTAGTCTTCCTTCTCGACTACATAATACACATCACAAAGGGAGTAAGCTATTCGCTTACCTTCAATGCATATCGCTACTTCATAATTTAGGTTTAGAACGAAAACTTGAAGGAACTTCGATTCAATAAACAACGCCTCGGTTTTATCAAACGAAAATTAAACAGAGGCATACAAAAATTTCCACTCTCCTTTCCTAATCTTCTGATATAAAAGGAGACCGTATCTTGAATCGATTGTTAATGACAAAAAAATCATGACTTCCAACATTTTCTTCGACAATTATAATCAAGCAGGAGATTGAAGCTGAAATGTTCAGGGATTGAAAACATGAATTAAAATGGAAAAAGAATGATGAAATACCATGGTGCGAGTAAATGACGGAACTCAGCAAACGAAGTTTGAGCTTCAGAGACCCGGTAGCGCTAAACCTGGTAGGTGATAGTTTCATTTTATAGGTAGGGTTTTCAAAATGGGGGCGGAGGAAAAGTAATTTTGATTGGTCCCATCCTCTAAATCTGTTCGAATTATGAATTTACCCCCTTACCCCTACCTCTCTATATATTATATATAATCATTTTTATTTAGTTATACAAGCTTTCAATAAATATATATAATTAATTTATCTATGGGAGATAAATTAAAATTTCAGGAAACTCTCTTTTCAACTTTAAATAATTTAAAATTTAAGACTAAATTTAAAATTTAAAAGCAAATAAAGAATAAAATTATTAAGAGGGATAGGTCTAAAGATCTAACTCTTTATTAAGAAATATCAAAAGAGAGGCTAATCTGCCATTGAATTAAACAAAAAAATAAGAGTTAGTTCTAACGTTCTAAGCTCTTAGAAAGTTGTTCTAACTTAGAAAAGTAGTTAGTTCACGCAAGCACTTCTCATACTCCAAGCGCCTAGATACTCCACTGTGATAGTCTCTGTTCCATTGTTGAACACATGCAAATGAGCATCCTCAAACACGGCCTTTGTTGGGTATACCCTCGAAGTTATGCATGTTTTTCCTCCTCCTCCGAAGCTCTCTATCACCGAGTGATCAATCTGCACAATAATACATAGTTTAGATTTTTAGATATGGTGCAAGAACGCATTGGGCTATGGCGTTAACATACCAAGCTTCGTAACAGGAGCTTTTTACTCGACAAATCAATGTCGACAAAGCCTGCAAATGTTGGTTTGTATAGTCCATCCTTCAAAGAAGAGCTACATCAAAAGAGAATCAAGAGCTTAGTAAGAAAAAATAATTATAAGGTCCATTTGATAAGGGAATTGAACCAACCTTCTTGCATCAGAGCACATAAGAACCACGTGGTTTTGTTCGGCCTTGAAGATCCTGAAGAATACAGGAGTGAATTCCTCGAGGTTTTCTGAAGCCAGAGTCAGAAGCCCAAAGGGTCCAACACCACCTTGGGCCGTCGATCCGAATTGACTGCACACGGCTTGTGCATCCACCCAACTTGGATCAAATGCCTCCGCTTTATCCAAACTCGAAAAGCTAAAGATAACTTCAACATCAGCCTGTACAAAGCACAAGAGAGAGGAAATATTCTATTTTTTAGATCAAGATGAGGTGGGGAAGACAGGGTGGGCCTGTAGCTCAAAGGATTAGAACACATGTCTACAAATCCATCATCGCCCACAACCGACCAAAAAGGGGGGACTTTTCACTTTGGAGGTAGGAAAGTTATAATCGGGATAGCGAACCCAAAGTAATGAAAGTTGGGTGTGAGTCTTTGTCAAAATAGAAGGGCCTTATCTTTTCGTTAATCGGTTAAGTGCGGGGTCCGTTATACTGACCTGAGCGGCAGTAATTCCTTTGATCTCGATATTCTGTCCCTTAACTAGCTCCTGATGTATCATCATAACCCTCTTCCATCTCAACCTATTGAGCTCCATAATAGGCCATTGTAAGAGCTGCTTTCCATTGGGATCCAACCACACCGTCCTAGGAATCGCCTGCAAAAGGAGGAAAGAAAAGGTCGGCCCAAATACAAAACAGAACAAAACAGAGCAAATTCAATAAAAAACAGACCTGAATTCCAGCCCATCCCTTAGAAACATCATCCTGCACACTATCAGATTCATTAGCCCAACCCCACAAAACCCTCCTCTTCCTCATTGGATCATAGAACGACTTGGAAGCATAGAAATTGCCATAGTCATATCTCAGCCCATTCCACCCATCCGCCGAGGTATTGTCCGGAACATACTTGTCTGTCGTCGGATAATACTTCCCCACCGTATAATACTCATATCTAGTCAGATCCAAGCTCACCTTTAACACATGTTTAACCCAATTTCCAGTAACCGACGCATCCAATCCAAATCTCCCAAAGCGGACGACTGGGTAGAAATCAGGGCACTCCCACATTCCCGTATTCGGGACAGAATGTAAAGGTTGTTCCGCCTTAGTCCAATTCAAAAAATCTTTACTTCTGTACAAATAAGCCATTCCCGTCTGCTCGCTCCTGCTGCCAATGATGGTCTTCCAGTGACCGTTGAAGCTCAGCCACGCCGTTGATGGGTCCCGGAAGGCGCTGGCGTTGACCTCCGTACCCGGTTCAACAATTGGGTTGTTATCCGGTTTGACCCACTCGATTAGAAGCGGGTCGGAGAGGTTTGCTGGAATGGCGTAGTTTTGTACCTGGCGATTCTGGGAGTCAATTCCGGTGTATAAAATGACGGGCTTGAAGCCGGGGAGGACGGTGGCAGAGCCAGACCAGCAGCCATTGATATCAAAGGGCTTCGAAGGGGAAAGCGCGGGTTTGAGTGACTTCCAATTGATAAGGTCTCTGGAAACTGAGTGAGCCCAAACAATATTCCCCCAAACCGCACCTTCGGGGTTGTACTGATAGAAAAGATGGTAGATTCCCTTGAAATAGAAGGGACCATTTGGGTCTGCATTTAGTTTGATAAGAGAAGAAAATCAGAATTTATAATAATAATAATAATAAATAAAAACATAAGGAACAAAAATAGATACGATCAGACGGTTAGAATTGAAAGAGGGAAAAGTAAGAAGCAATCGGAGGGAGGGCCAGTATCTTTGGTCGGATAAAATGGTAACAAGGGAGGAAAGGAGAGAATGAAAATGTAGAAATTACGAACCGTTCATCCAGTGACGATGAGGTTGAAAATGGAAACCGGTTCGATAGAGCTGCTTGATCTCGGTATCATTGTTTTCGAGAGACTGTAATTCAGGGTAGACTTTATGGAGAGCTTGGACGGCGACGAGGCCATTATTGACGAACAGAGAACAAGAGAAGAATCCGAGAAGGAGGGATAGGAGAGTACAGAAATTCATTGTGGAATTTGAATAGAGCAGAGGAGGAGGCGGCTCTGGTAGTGGAGTTTGAAGTGAAGTAGAACGAGAGTTTAATGGCTATTTATAGGGGGAGAAATATAGAGGAGTTTAAATTATTTGTTTAAATTTAGTGTAAAAGATAGGATACATTGGTTAAACTATTTACTATAAATAGAAAAATTTATAAGTTTTTTTTTTTTAAATTAAGATTAGTATTAATATTTATTTTTTCTTTCAAATTCAATTTTATTTGAATTTTTTTATATTTATTTTAAATAAATTATGTTTTTTATTTGTGTTGGAAGCAATTTAATTATGGGTTCCGTCTATTTGAAATTTAGTTATATCTTAAATTGATCATGAGACATATAATTGTCACTATAAATAAGAACTATAATTTTAAGGGATTAATATTGAAATAATATAAGTGGGTCGATCAAGTAGCCTAATTCTAAAGAAAAAGCATTATTGATAATCTAAAACTATCCATATAGATAGATATAACTACTATTTATTTAAAATATCCTGACAATAAAATACTTGAAAAAGACTACATAGGTATGATCCATGAATATGGATACCTTTATTCAATAAATATATATATATATATATATATATATATATTTCATAAAATAAATTATATTTAATTTCTAATTTTAATAATGTGAAATTTAGGATTATTGATATAAGTCATTTGGGAATAATTATAATACATACTTTAATTACAATAAAATAAAACACAGTGGTTGAGAAGGCACCAGATGAACCATTTTTGTAACATAAACTAATTCTATTAAATAATGAATTTAACTATAAATTTTTTTATTTGGTAAAAAATTTTATAAACTGATAGAAGTTTTAGAATTTGTTTGACTAAAAAAAAAAAAGTCTAGGCTTGGAGAAGTTGGTTTATAATTCTGATTATTTAAATAAAAAAATTATATTATAAAAATTATTATTATATATTATTATTATATATTATTATATAAATAATAAATAATTGAATAATGTAATGTAAATTTATTAAAAAAAATTATCAAATAAAAATAAACATTTTTTTTTATAAGGCAATTATTAGAATTTCCTAATGTTTTGAGGGGATGAATATGATTTTAGGGGTTTGTAAAAAAAAAAAAAAAAAATCTTTTGTTATATTGTCCTTTTAAAATGGATAAAATGGTTTTCCATTTGGAGGGTAAAAAGTTTGATATTGTCCTTCTAAAATGGAATTCATCCTTTGTTTTGTCAGGGAAAATTATCTTTTTTCTCGTTCTGTTTAAACCCCTTAATTTCCTCCATTTCTTTCACTCATTCTTATTTAGTTTCAATAACCCCTTAATTTCCTTTCACTCATTCTTATTTAGTTTCAATTTCATAGTAAGAAGAGTATCGTCTTTCTCGTTCCTGTTTAGTCTCGTCCATTTCCTCCGTTTCTTTTATCATAGTAAAAAGAATGACGATATTCTGCATAAATATTTTAATTTCAAAGTAAGAAGAGTTAGAAGAGTCTGTCTAAATAGTAGACAAGTAATTTTTTGAAGAAAAAAAAAATAATGCACAGAATTTCTCAATTCTGACACACAGAGAATTTCTCAATTCTGACACACAGAGAATTTCTCAATTCTGACACACAGAGAATTTCTCAATTCTGACACACAGAGAATTTCTCAATTCTGACACACAGAGAATTTCTCAATTCTGACACACAGAGTATTTCTCAATTCTGACACACAGTATACATAGTACATTCTAATATAACTATTTTATTGTACCCAAACTAATGTCAATCCAACCCATTTTAAAACTAATTTCAAACATTTAATTATAATTTATAAGTCTAGGAGGTTAGATTGAACATTCATAACCTTCAAAAACATTCTATCAATATCACTGTGATCATTATGTCATGGTAAGCTAAAAGAAAATAACTAATAAAGATCAACTAATAAAGATTGGGAGAGGTCCAAAGATCTAACTCTTTATTAAGAAACATAAAGACAAAAGAGAGGAGGCTAATCTGCCATTACAACCTTAAGTAAACAAAAAATAAGAGTTAGTGCTAACGTTCTAAGCTCATAGAAAGTTGTTCTAACATAGAAAAGAGTTAGTTCACACAAGCACTTCTCATACTCCAAGCACCTAGATACTCCACCGTGATAGGCTCTGTTCCATTGTTGAACACATGTAAATGAGCATCCTCAAACACGGCTTTTGTTGGGTATACCCTCGAAGTTATGCAAGTTTTCCCTCCTCCTCCAAAGCTCTCTATCACTGAGTGATCAATCTACACAATAATACACAGTTTAGCTTTGTGGATATGGTGCGAGAACGCATTGGACTATGACGTTAACGTACCAAGCTGCGTAACGGGAGCTTTTTACTCGACAAATCAATGTCGACAAAGCCTGCAAATGTCGGCTTGTATAGTCCATCCTTCAAAGAAGAGCTACACCATAAGAGAAACAAGCTTAGTAAACATGGAAAAAATAATTATAAAGTGATAAGGGAATTGATTCTACCTTCTTGCATCAGAACACATAAGAACCACGTGTTTGTTGGTCTCAGCCTTGAAAATCCTGAAGAACACAGGAGTGAACTCCTCGAGATTTTCTGAAGCCAGAGTGAGAAGACCAAAGGGTCCAACACCACCTTGGGTCGTTGATCCAAGCTGACTGCACACAGCTTGTGCGTCCACCCAGCTTGGATCAAATGTCTCCGCTTTATCCAAACTCGAAAAGCTAAAGATAACTTCAACATCAGCCTGTATAAAACACAAGAAACAATCGATCAAATGACACCCAACTTCTTCCTTTAATATAACTCAGAGAATTAGAACACGTGGCTACGAACCACGGTGACAAGGGTTCGAATCCCTCATCGCCCACAACCAACCAAAAAGGGGAATTTTTCACTCTGGAGGTAGTGTCAAGGGTTCGAATACCTCATCACCCACAACCAACCAAAAAGGGGGACATGGTAGGAAAATCATAATCAGGGCGGGGTCGGTTATAAACTAAACATACTAACCTGAGCGGCAGTAATTCCTTTGATCTCAACATTCTGTCCCATAACCAGCTTCTGATGTATCATCATAACCCTCCTCCTTCTCAACCTATTGAGCTCCATAACCGGCCATTGTAAGAGCTGCTTCCCATTAGGATCCAACCACACCGTCCTAGGAATCGCCTGCAAAAGGAGGAAAGAAAAGGTCGGCCCAAATACAAAACAGAACAAAACATAGCAAATTTAATAAAAAAAAACAAACCTGAATTCCAGCCCATCCCTTAGAAACATCATCCTGCACACTATCAGATTCATTAGCCCAACCCCACAAAACCCTCCTCTTCCTCATTGGATCATAGAATGACTTGGAAGCATAGAAATTGCCATAGTCATATCTCAGCCCATTCCACCCATCCGCCGAGGTATTGTCTGGAACATACTTGTCCGTCGTCGGATAATACTTCCCCACCGTATAATAATCATATCTAGTCAGATCCAAGCTCACCTTCAACACATGTTTAACCCAATTTCCAGTAACCGACGCATCCAATCCAAATCTCCCAAAGCGGGCGACTGGGTAGAAATCAGGGCACTCCCACATTCCCGTATTCGGGACAGAATGTAAAGGTTGTTCCGCCTTAGTCCAATTCAAAAAATCTTTACTTCTATACAAATAAGCCATTCCTGTCTGCTCGCTCCTACCGCCAATGATGGTCTTCCACTGACCATTGAAGCTCAACCACGCTGTCGACGGGTCCCGAAAGGCGCTAGCATTGACCTCCGTACCCGGTTCAACAATCGGGTTATTATCCGGTTTGACCCACTCGGTTAGAAGCGGGTCAGCAAGGTTTGCTGGAATGGCGTAGTTTTGTACCTGGCGATTTTGGGAGTCAATTCCAGTGTATAAAATGACGGGCTTGAAGCCGGGGAGGACGGTGGCAGAGCCGGACCAGCAGCCATTGATATCAAAGGGCTTTGAAGGGAAAATCGCAGATTTGAGTGACTTCCAATTGATAAGGTCTCTGGAAATTGAGTGAGCCCATTCTATGTTCTCCCATATAGCGGCTTCGGGGTTGTATTGATAGAAGAGATGGTAGATTCCCTTGAAATACATTGGGCCGTTCGGGTCTGCATTATAAAAACTAATAAGAGACGTATTTATGGAGTCCATATCAAAATAATTATAAAAACAAGGTGTAAACGTGAATCCACGTCAGACGAAAAATGTCATAAAAACAGAAGGAAGAAAAATAGAGGTTAGAATTAGTGAGAGCTGGAAAGCAGCAAAAAGAGATACAGTATCTTTTGAAAAGGCCAAATAATTTATGTTTTGAGAATTGATCCGATCCGATCAGGTAAAATGGTAACAACCGAGGAAATGAAGGACTAAAAATGTAGAAATTACGAACTGTTCATCCAGTGTCGCTGAGGTTGAAAGTGGAAACCAGTTCGATGGAGCTGCTTAATCTCGGTGCCGTTAGTTTTAGAGGGACTATAATTCGGGATAGATTTTATGGAGTGCTTGGACGACGACTGAGCCATTGTCGACGAACAGATAACAAGAGGAGAATACGATAAGAAGATGCAACAAGAGAAGAAAACGATAAGAAGATGGAGGAGAGTGAAGAAATTCATTGTGTAATTTAAGAGTGAAGAAAGAGGCGAGTTTGGTAGTAGAGTTTGAAGTGAAGGAGAAATGAGAGAATTTGAGAGTGAAGAAAGAGGGGTAGTGGAGTTTGAAGTGAAGAAGAAATCAGAGTTTGGTGACTATTTATAGAAAAGAAATATAAGAAGGATAAGATATTTGTTTAAATTTATCCTAAAAAATAGGATATATTATTAAAACTATTTACTATAAATAGCATAATTTATAAGTTTTTTATTTAATTAAGATTTGTATTTATTTATTTTTATTTATGTGAAATTCAATTTTATTTGAATTTTTTATATTTTTTTTAATTAATTATATATTTTTCTATTTAGGAATAAATGAAAAG